CTCCTGGCCTTTCCTTTTTTAGGTTTTCAGTCTGAAATTGTGCATGTGTGTGTGTGTGTGTGTGTAGAGATGCAATGCTTGCCCCTCCCCTCTAGAGTTTGCTGCCTTTTACAACACCCTGACTTGGTCCTTCCTGTTAACTCAAGCCCTTTCCCCTCTCCCATTTTTTTTTTAAATTAGTGTGTAATGGGAAATGGAGAGGAAATCCCAGCTGCTTGCTGCAGGCTGCCCTGACTGCATGTTATGCAACCAGAGGTAAAACTGATTCTTCATATGTGGCAAATGTTTAATCCCTGAACAGCTCCTTAGAAGAGCTCAGAATGGCTTTATCATGTTTGCCTAGGGAAAGCAAATGCATTTTAAAACTAGGCAGAACCTAATTAAGAAGGTAAAGATGCTGCAAAGAAAAAACCCAAACAAACAAACAAAACCAAAAAAAAAAATCACATTCTAAAGCCTAACAAAAATCCTGTGTCTTCATTTTTCAATTATCTGCTATTTTTAATGTGGTCCGCCAGGTGGCGCAGTGGATAGAGCACCAGGCCTGGAGTCAGGAAGACTCATCTTTCTGAGTTCAAATATGGCATCAGATATTTACTAGCTGTATGACCCTGGGCAAGTCACTTACCGCTGTTTGCCTCAGTTTCCTCATCTGTAACATGAGCTGGAGAAGGAAATGGGAAACCACTCCAGTATCTCCGCCAAGAAAATCCCAAATAGGGTCATGAAGAGTCAGACACGACTGAAAAATGACTCAAAGACATTTTGAATTACCTATGTTGCTGCTCCGCTCCAGTAGGAAAGCTAATTGAGAGGCACTGGTACATGTATGCTGGATGTTATCTCTCCAGAAGGCTCCCTAACATTCTCTTCCCCATCTTCCCAGACACCTGAAGATACCAGCTGCGCAGTCTAGAGGAACTCTGCCTTTCAGTATAGGCCATGCCATGACCTTGCTTCGAGCAGACTATGTTTTTTCTCACCTCTGTTGCTATGTCTGCTCCGTTTGCTGGTTGAAGATTAAGCTCAGAGAGTTCTTCCAATTGGCCTTTGTTCCTTTCAACCCTGAAAGAGTTAGGAAGGAAAGTCTTCAGTGCTTTAATTTAATTCAACAAGTATCTCTAAAGTACCTACTATGTGCCAGGCATTATGGAAGGCTCTGAGGAATCAAAGACCAAAAAAAAAAAAAAATCAAATATTTGCCGCTTGAAGGCAGTGTTCCACTGGTGTGGGTCATGAGATGCTTGTGCTTGGACCCCAGCCCTTGGACCATCTCTTTCCCCAGCCCAAAGACCCTGTCTCTGGCTGTAACCCATAAGTGAGCCCCAGTGAGGCAAACTAACTCTCCCTGTTCCAAGAGCAAGCTGACCTCTGTAGAATTTCCTTTGTATGAACAGGATTATCTTGTACCAACAGAACTATCATGTATTGATTCCCACAATTACCATATGCAATCCAGAAGTCAAGCTATGGACTTCAACTCCTAAGGCTATCTTGTTACAGATGTCGGGGACCAAAAACACAACCCTTAGAAGGCACCCCCAAGCACTGCCAATAGTGAATGAAGCCTGCGCCCAAGATACAGAAACTGTATGTTACCACCTAATTAGAATACTTGGCACACCACTCACTGAACTTTTTCTATATAAGCTTCAGCATCACCTCCTTTAAGCTGCAAGTTCCCTAAGGTGCTCTGCCCACTATATTAGTGTTATAATAAACTTTTTGCCATGTGACTGGAACTGCTTGAATCTAAGAATTCTTTCCAGATGACTCTGCTCTGTACCTCGATAGTTTTGGGGTCCCTGTACCCCTAAACCACATCATTTAATGGTGCCCAAAGTGGGGCAAGACTGAGGTCTCAAGCCCTCTCCCAGACAAGGTAAGCCTCCTCTCCCATAGCCTTATAGTTGGGTCACCCTGTCAAGCTCCTAGGAAGGCTCATTGGGGCCTTGGGTTGGGCCTGCCACATCCCCTTAGCAGAATTTCCTCTTGACAACGGGCGCCTTGTTCTGGGAACATCTGAAGGTCATTTTCCTGCCTCTCCAAGATGCTGATTGAGGTGAGTGGCTACATTGGTCTCCTTTTCCTTCTAAGGTTTGCAGGCAAAAAGATGGGCCAATTCACCCTTAGGTTACACACTGGAAAAAGCTCGATCTCCAAGACCTGTCTTGCCTGGCCTCAATGCAGTCTAGGGGACCAAGAAAAAATTGTCTGATTTGAGAAGGGGGTTTCTAACTCTCTGAGCTTTTGGACTCTTCCGGTCATTATCACCGTATCAGTATTTGTGTCTCTATGTGGTGTGAATGTATAATCCAGGCTCTGAGTGTGGAGGGACAGACAAGAAGGTAATTTCGTTTATTAGAGAGAGGCAGGCTTTGGGTGCTGAGTCAGTGAACAGTTCCAAGGCTTGTACTTTGCACAATGTTAAGTATGTGAGATCTTACTGTTAAGGTTTGGGGACAAATGGGGGTATCCAAGCCCCTCCTGTCAGTGGACTGTTGCTCTGGGTACCTTTGTGCCAGCTTCTAATGGTTTAAGTATATTGAGAGGGTGTGAGGAAGTTTGACTGCATTTTAAGAAGAAAGGAAAATTATGTAGTTTGATTTGAAAGTTAATAGCTAAATCAAATTTCAGATGGCCAGGTTGGGGGGATACCAGCCTGATGGGGTATAGGCCCATCATTCAGTTTCAGAAGCCAAGACCTTTGCCCCTTTTGCCAAAAGGAATTTGGTTCCCATTTGTCTGCGGGGCCCCAGAAAACTCTTAAACTTTTTTTTACTCTGGTCTCTGGTTCCTTATGGACTCGCCTTATCTCCCTAGCCCCACCTTTGATATTATGCAGCTGCCTTTCAAACTTCCTCCTTCCAGCTCCCTTCACTATCTATTCCCATGGTCTATTCAATCTCTCAGACCTTCCAAATGGAATTCTTACCTAGACCCTTTTCCCAGCCCCCTCCTCTGACCACCCAAAGTTACTTTAGTGTATATAAGATCCACCCTGGCCCCCATTCAAACTCTGGGACTGTCTCATGCCTGCTCCTCCCTACTAATGTTCAGATTCCTTAAGAGACTGGCCTATATGACTTATCTCTAATAAACTTTTTTTCTGGCTGGAAGAATATTTGAGTTGAATTCATTCAGGCAGGGCATGCATCGCGATCTTGGGGTTTGAGCACCCCAAACCTCCAGACCTTTTCAAGCCTATACTCACCCCACTCCCTTTTGGCCTTGTCTCCTCTAGACCCCAGGCCAACCACTTTCAGATGATGGCTCAATCTGTGTACCAACCCTTGCTCCAGTCAAAGACCCACCACCCACTGGACTTGTCTGGGCCAAACATCAGTTAAGGATCCAGTCCCTTGCACGGAGAGGCAGGAACAGACAGCTCTAAGTCCAGTCTCAGCTGGAAGCAGTTTCAGAAGACCTTCGTCCCTCACCCCAAAAGATTTTGGGTCCCATTTGTTTGAAAGGGGAATGATGGAGTGCTTGTGTGGGAAAGTTCAGGCGCTTTTAGGGGTCCAAAGACATGGTTTTTTCCTTTTAGGGATCCAACACGAATCCCCTAACCCCATCACCATAACCCCATGACTTGGACCCTAGCCCTAGGACTGAAGATTACATCAAAAGACTGCACTTAAGAATCTAGAAGGCCAACTGTGGCCTCAAGGCCGCAGGTCCCCCACCCCTGCAAGCCTGGCTGAAAGAGCTTTTGTAACCCTTCAGCTGAAAAGAGAGTGGGTACATTCCATTTACAGATGGTCAGAGCGCCCCAGCCAATGGCAGAAGGTGGGGAAAAGGCTGGAGCAGCTGCTCTTTGAAGACCCAGTGAGAAATTTCCTGGTTTAAAAAGGTCTGGTTTAAAAAAAAAAGTGGATTCGATTTCTTCAGGAATGGGCCAAATGCTTTGTATTGTATCTACTGTCTGAAAAAGCATGCTCCAAGGCTCCCCTTCATCTCTCCCGGGGATAAAGGAGGTATATGCACTGCTTCCGATCACCAAGGTATAATTTAGCGTAGGAAACTTTGACCGTATCACCCACTGCCAGTGGATGTCACGGGGAGGTGTAAGAAACATGTGTGAGAAAGAATGAGAATGTAGAGAAAGAGAGAGAAAAGGGAAGGAAAAAGAGGTTCATTGACTAGGAGGTGGGGTGAGAAAGGAAGCCGTGCAGTTCGCCAGATACCCCTTCAGTGGTGCCAGCTTTCAAGAGCCCCTCAGGCTAATTTGTTTAGCCTCAAGGCCCTCCGATTTCTAGACAATGTCTTACAGCTGTCTCCGTGTTTAGGGTAAAGAACATGGCCTGGGAAATCAGGAATCCTGGCTCTCAGTCCCGGCTCTATGACGCATAGAAAGTGGGAGGCATAGAAAGTTTTCTTCTAAGATGGGAAGAGCACTTGGTGGTCCAAGAAGGAATAGCTACAACTGTCCCACCGGCCCCGAGGCTTGGCTGCCTAAACTACAGCCGAAGGGCTCTCCCTATCCACCTCACTCCATCCCCAGCTGCAGTCCTGGAGCCAATTGTAGGGAAGACGAGGCATAGGATTTAGGGGTGGAAAGGACCTTAGAGATCAACTCATCCAACCCCTTCGTTTTACAGATGAGGAAACTGAGGCCTAGAGAGCGTCAGTGATTTGTCTTTGAACCTAGGTCCTTCGATTCCAAATTCAGGGGTCTTTCCAAAATCTGGGTGTCTTCCCCGGGTAGAGTCCCAGGAAATGACTCTGTGGCTTCGTTTTACAGAGCCGGAGCAAGGAGGCGCGGAAATCCGAGACCTGGGCCAGAAGCCCTCCCCCACCCCTGGGCTAAGCCCGGCCACCGCAGGCCCCACCCCCGGCCAAGCCCCGTGGGATAGGGAGGGGAGGGCTGCTCTGCTCTCGCGCTCCCGAGAGCCCCTAAGCCAGGCCCCAGCTAGGGGACAGACTGTGCGCCTGCGCCCAGGTGAGAGCTCCGGGAGCCCGGGTCAACCTGGTGGCCCGCCCCGCCCCGCCCCCTGGCCTTGGACACCTGTGCAGGACACTTCTGGTTCGCGATTCCCTTCGGTAGCCCCCACGGGGCGGGGACCAGGAGTTAGGAAATGGAAGAGGCGCCAGAGGCTCGGGATTCCCGCACCCGGGACAGACCGAGGAACCGAGACCACCGCCCGGAGAGACAGCGGGACAGAGATCACGGCCAGGAGAGACAGCGGGACA